CAGACCGCGGGGGGACGGTCACTGTCGTCACGCTTGGCGGGGAGCCGGGAGGGAGGAAGGAGCGACCTGGAGGAGGCAGGGAGAGGGGAAACCCGTGACCCGTCTGGGGCAGGAGTGTCTGTGGCAGGGACCGAGAGAGGAGGGAAGCTGTCCCAGCATTCCTGCTCTCCCTCCAAGCGCCATCTTTGGCCGGGATGCCCTTGGCCGGGGGGGATCTGGGGACAGAACTGTGGAAACGCGGGGCTGGGGCCGAGGGGACAAGCCCCAGGCTGCTGGGGAGGGTCTGTGCGACGCGGGGCAGGAGCGCTGGGCTGGCGGCCCCTCCGCCTTCGTCATCCTGGAGCTATTCCTAAACACGCTCCGGCGCAGACCGGGAAGCGGTGCCAGCCAGCTGGCTCTGTCCTGCCCACAGATCTCGCCTGCTCGTCCTATTTTCCTCTGCTGTCTTTGGCACCAGTTAAAGAACCTGCTCGGGTTTTGTTTGCCTTAACTCTCCCTGTGCCGAGCTGTTCCTGCTCCGCGGGGTCCCCTGCTCCGGGGCGAGCAGTGCTCCTGCATCCCCTTTCCCATCAGCTGGCTTCGGGTGATGTGCTCCGGGTCTGCTTTGTGGCTCAAATCCCCCCAGCCCCTTCCCATCAGGTTTATATCTTTTCCTTCCCCGACATGCCCACCCCGTCACCACCTCCCTGCTGCTGTCGGGTGCCTCTGCCCTCCTCTCCTCCGGACTGGGGCAGGTCCCCTGGGGACACGGGTCCCTGGCCGGTGTCATGCCGCAGGGACGAGCCGCTCGGCTTCCCCGTGGCTCTGCCAGCCCGTGCAGCGTCGGGACCACAGCCCTGTCACACCTGGCTCCCCACGTCCTGCTCCATGGAAGGAGCGAGCGGGTTCCTTTCCGTCATCAGCTTTGGCTCGGGGCAGGATCCGGGCTGGGCGGTGGCAGGACAACCCCCTCTTCCTCCAGCTGATCTTTTGCCCCTTATTCTGGACGCCTTGTTTTGAGCCTGTACCAAATGAGGCTAAAATTAACTTCCTCAGAAGATGCCATAAATATTCTACCTACTGGGAAGGGAGTGAATGCGCAGCCTTTTACAGCTGTCTTTGAAAGCCGGGTGGTGGTTTATATTTAGCGTTCTATTTCCCGTGCGCTGCCCTTATCTCAGGCGCCTTCGCTCGTCCCGCTCGCTGCAAGGCAGATCCCTCCTCGCCAGATCCCAAGGATCTGGGAGCTGGCAAGATGAGGAGCTGAGCTGTCTACAGGCTTTTGCTGGTTTATGCAAACCCAGAACTATCTGTCTTGGCTGGGATTTTTCAAGGGCTGGAAAAAATGCCCGGCCCGCAGCCGTCCCTGGCTGAGAGCTGCTGCGTGCTCAGCCTGGAGCTGGCTGTGCTGCAGAGCAGTCCCTGCAAAAAAAAAATACGTGCTAAGCTTTTTCCTACAGCAGACTGCGCTCCTGGAGCTCGTTGTGCTGGTTCCCTAGCGCTGACAGATCCCCCTGAAAAAGGGCTTTGACTCGAGGGGATTCCCAAAAAGCAGGTATCGGTTTGGAGGTGGGTTTCAGCGGGGTTTCAGACTGCTGCTGTCTGAGAATGGGTGGTGAGCAGGAGGAGAGGGGTGTTTCGGTGTGTTGAGTCGTCTCTGAGTCACAGTTTGTGAGATGGAAGAGTGAGCTGGAAGAGCGGCTCCGCCGAGGGAAGCGGGTGCTGTTCGTTCCTTACCTCTGGCATGTCCCTGCTTCCTTGGGCACCGGTATCGGAGCCGCTTTCCAACCCCCAAAATCCTTGCGAAGGGGCCGCAGCTCGTCTCGTGTCACTGGGGACCTTCTGGATGAGGCAGAATTGCTCAAAGAGGGGCACAAATCATCTGCCAAGCCACGATGTTGCTCGTAGGTCTCTGTTTGTCCAGGGTACCCCGAATCTTTTGGACGTGGGGGAATAGGGCAGGACGGTGGGGGGCCGGGAAGGACCCGTGTGCCGCTCTCGTGGCGGAGCCGTCGGTGCGGGCGTTGCTCCGCTCTCCACCATCCGGCTGGGCAGGGAGGTAACCAGTCCTGCCGGCTCTGCCTGCCCACCCCGAGCCCCTGGGTCGACGCTTTGTCCCGGGCAGTCTCACTGACATTTTGGCCAATAAATAACTCAGCAGGTCGCTGCTCCCCTCGCTCCCGCCGTCAGCGCCGGGGGAAGCGGTGGGTATCTCCCGCGGGGCAGGCGGTGCTGGGGCCGAGTTATCAGCACCCGCAGCCGCAGCCGGGGTTGTCTCGCCTGTGCAGAAGGGAGGGTGGGGGGCTGCGGGTGTCTGGTTGTGGGCACGGTGCCCGGTGCTGGGCCCACCCTGGGAGGGGAGGACCTGGGTGCTCCATGGGGTGTGGGAAGAGGTGCTGGCTAGAGGGGTGCAAACAGGGCACCAGTCTCACCAGCTGCTGACGCACTGGTTCCAGAGCTGTGTGGGTGGAGGAGGGTCAGCCTGGGGCAGAGCTGGGTCAAGGTGCAGGCAGGTGCCTGCCCTGTGCCTCCCACCACCCCTCTACTCCTGGCTGGCTGCTCTTCCCCTGGGGCTGGACCCTTCCCGAAGCGCCCACCCCAGCTCCCCACACCCGAGGACTCTCATCCCGGTGCAGCCTGGTGCTGGCTGTGCCCCAGGGCGAGGGACGCCCTCCAGGCACCGCTGCCTGGCCCCGTGCCACGCGTGTCCCCAGCCCCTGGGCTTCCCCGTGGGCTCCCCAGCCCCGTGTGGCCACTGGCTGTGCCGGAGCCACGTTTGCGGCGATGCAGAGGGTGCAGTGAGGGTGGCTGGTGACTCAGGGGTGCTGGCAGCACCGAGCATTGTCTCCTCCCAGACCCTGCGGAGAGCCAGGACCAGCCTGAGATGCTCCTGTCCCAGCTGTCCCTGACCTGCCGGCCCCAGTGAGGGGCAGGCGGGTGGTTTTGGGGGGCACAGGCTCCAGCACGGCTCTGGGCCCCTGCAGAGAGCTGCTCTGCACCCCGGTCCTGCCCATCGCCCCCTCTCCCTGATCTGGCTCCTGACTCAACAGGTGAAAACAGGAGCCATAGCCCTTGTCTTGCTCTGCTGAGGATTCACCTCATGCCAGATCCTCGAGGCGGGGCTGTTCGTCAGCGCAAGCCCCAGTTTGAGGGTGCAGGGTGTATGGATACGGCCCTCGGGCACCTTCATCCCCATGAGAGGAGCCCCGAGGGGGTTCCCAGTGCCCCACTCGTGAGCAAGGGGTGACTGTGCTGTGACCAGCTCCCTCCTCCGTTCCCGTTCCAAAGCAGGAACCAGGCCCTCGTTAGCAGCGCGGCTAATGAGCGATGGCTTCCGGAATTGCAGCCCCTAACCCAATTAAGCTGGTGCCTTGGCAGCGCCTCTTCCTCCCCAGGCCCACATCTCATCCCTGGCCCTAATGAGGAAAAAAAATCTGTTTTTCAAAGGTCGGTGTGGGTGTGGGGGGGCAGCGTCTGCAAGGGCAGAGCAAAGGAGTCATCAGTGAGGGTGCCAGGAAGGCTGGGGTGAACCCCACAGATCTTCCCCATCCCTGATCGATCTTGCCCTGTGCTGGGCTTGAGCAACGACCTTCCAGGAAGGAGCAAGCAAATGGGACCCATTTACTGAGAGAAATTTTAAAAAAAAAAAAAAAAAAGGAAAAGGGGGGGGGGAAAAACAAGCCTCCTTGCCGCGGGGCAGGGCGCTGCTTTTCTGCCGCCTTTAGCAGCAATGTGCTCGTGCTGGAACATTTGCGTGGGGGAGAAACCTCAGGCTCCTGGGCTCTTTCCCCTCCTCTGTCTTGTAGAAACCCTGCCAGGGAAGGAACGGTTTGGCTCTGCGGAGGCTTTGCCCTTTCGGAGCAAACAAAGAACAGCTTGTGCAGCCGGGTGCTGCTTTGGGGGAGCAGGCGGTGTGGAGCCAGGACCCCCCCATGCCCCTTGGGGACCCTCTTAAACACACTGCCCCGAGTCTCCAGCGCTCTGGACAGATTTATTTTCCGCTGACCCAGCAGCTCGGGGTGGCTGGACACGCCTGCCCTCCCTGCGCTGACAGGCCCTGTGGCAAAAACCCCCGTTGCTTCGAGGCTGAGGTTTTTGTTAGCCCCTGGCTATTTCTGTGCAAACTTTGAGCCCCCCTTTTTTCCCCAGCTGCCCAAGCAGGACGATCTCAGGCTGGAGGAGAGAGCTCCAGCACTTTTGTTTCGTGGCTCGGCCGCGTTCGCTGGCATCTTCCAGACACGAGCGTTACCCTGTCCCGCTGCAGGGCTGGGCCGTCACCCTCTTCTCGGGGTGAGGGGAACAAGAGGAAATCCTGCTGCCTGGAACATTGTTTTTAGGATAGGATCCACCCTGGCAAATGAAGGACCTTACCCTCAGAGCTCAGGGATTAAAGAGAAGCGATCGCAACGGGAAACGGGGCTCGTTTCGGTGTGGGAGCGCATCCGTCCCCAAACGGTGCCTAGCACAGCGCGTCCCGGCCTGCCCCGGCCACGCTGGCTGCCACAAGTGTTTTTCAGCCTCACACACGCATCACTTCAGCTGTCTGAGTCCCATTAACACTTGAACTTCAGAGCGCAGCCGAAGCAAGAGCCGTGCCCGGTGCGGCGCTCGGCACAGGCACGCGAAGAAGGTGCCGTGGCTGGGGTGGGGCACGCCGAGCTGCTGCCAGCTCCTTATTTTGCTAAATTTGTGCCCTTTGGGAGCCGCAGTTTCCTTCCCTGCTGCTGGCAGCCGGGCTGGGAGGAAGCTACCAGAGATCTCCCCTTGGTCTGGGCCAAAATTCAGCCTGGAGGAGTCGCTGGGAAGCATCAGCCCAGCGGCTACTGGCTGAGCTGCCCCGGGGCAGAGCTGGGAATCGCCTCCCACTCTCCTGCCACCGGCTGCTTTGCCCCTTTCCCCCTTCTGTCTACTTGTGTGACTTTGCT